CCAACCAAAAAAGGAATCCACGTCATTACAGGATCAGATGTACTTAAGATAAAACACCAAACTGATCCTCCTGAACTGTTCTTTAAAACTAATTGAGTGGAATATCACATGCTTCCCAAACCTACTACGCAGATAGTAATTTAAGTGTCAACAGCTTTTTCTGACAATGCAGCTTTGAGGTAAGAGCAGCACGGAGGGCCTGCATGCAAGGGCAATACCAGGGTGTAGTTTTGGCGACCAAAGGCACCTCGCAGAGGCGCAGGCAGTGCCGGGACTTACCCGCTCTAGGTCCTGCCGGAGGTGTGTGAAGAGCTGCAACCTTCTGAACAGAACGTCCTGTTCCCGTTTAGCCAGATTGTCCTCTTCGTCCTTCTTTGGGGTAATCAAAGGCTTATTAAAGTTGGCTTTTCTCTTCAGCTTCCAGTACTGGTACAGGAATCCCACCGGCTCCTCGGGCAGCCGCAGCACTTTAGCCACTTCCGAAGACTCAACAAACGTATAGAACTCATCCTCCAGCTGCTGGAGCTTTTGCTTGCGGAGGCTGACTCTGTGGGCCTCCTCCTGGTTTTGATCCATGCTGTGGAAAGGGTCGATGTGGGCAGGAAGAGAACTCTCTCGAATCCCGTTCCCGTTCTCCTGGCCTGGGCTTTCACTGAAAGTCTCATCATCCCCTTTCTTGGTGGAGCTGTGCTTGGGACAGTAGGACTTAAATTTCACCTCATCGTTCTCTGCCAGTATGGTCTTCATCTCTAAGCCACGGTCAAACGCGCAAGTGACATGAAAGGCTGTTCTGCAGTTCTTCACTGAACACTACAGAAATTAAATTAAAATTAACTAAATATAAATTTAAGAAGCCACACTGCCTGAAACTATTCGAGCAGCCAGGACTGCTTTGGAAGAAGGACCCTGTTATTGCACTCTGCTTCTAAGCCGCATGCACTTTCTTGCTCTCTTTTTAATTAGCTTTACGATTTAGTGCTTCCAGGCCAGGCGAGGCTGAAGTGGCCCAGTGGGACGGGAGCGGTGAACCCCCCTGGCCCCAGCACGCGATTCAATAACCAGCAAACCCACCAGAGGAGCCTTCTTCCCGTCACCGGAGCCACTGGCGTAAGGCAGCCTTACACAAAGGAAAACCTTCCCCTTTGGCTGTGCCAGCGTGACAGAGGTGGCTCCAGGCCAGTCTGGGACTTTTTAATTAAAAGTCTTTCCCAGCACCTGGCCCCGTCCTACCCAAAAGGCCTCAACCCAAGGGAATTAGTTTTTTTTCTTGTTATCCCAATTTTATAATGTCAAATATGAAATCACTGTTGATCACTACTTCACTGACTACAGCCTTCCCTTCACCTGGGAGATGAGGAGAACAGGAAATTCAGTTTTTTGTCATTTTTCTTCCCTCCCCGTGAACCCAGCTGTCACAGAGCACTGGGCACCAGTTCAGCTGATTTAGCACTTAATTACATGTAAATTTCTCTCGCAAAATGCTGTCATAGCTATTGCCAGCCACAAAATGAAAGGTTTAAATATATATATATAATGTATGTATATACACACACGCATACGTATGCTTTTGTATCAACTCACACCTCTGCCTCCAGTGAACAGGAGTTACAGTGGAAACGAACGTTAGTGCTATGAACAAGGAGGAAACAAAACTCTGCTGAACCCGAGTCATCTGCCCCGACAGAGAAGCGCGCTGCGCTCGGATGTTTACACAGCACTTTGTAAAGAAGCCAAGTATCTTTCTCCTCTGGGTTTTCCTGCTCAGGTTGACTCGGCAGCCAGATGGCATATAAAGGTACAACGGAGTTTAAACTGCACAAGTTTCAAATGAACATTCTTTAACAAAATCAACATACAAAAGGAGTTAAAAGATACCAAAGCATCTTCTGCCCTTTCCTCTCTAACAAACAGGGCAAAAGCAGCCCAACTGGCACACCGAACAGCACGGCAGAGTACTTGAGCTGTGGTTTCCAAGCTGCTATCGTTTAGAATAATTAGCTCTTAGGGTGGCTAATGTTTTATTGGGAGAAGAGGGGAAAGCCTGTCTCATCGGAAGGAAATCTGCTGAACCTGGGAGATGATGCAGTCTGGTCTCTCCCAGCTGACTGCAGCTGCTCTCTGCCCGGCCCCACGCGCTCCCAGCTGCCGGCTCTTCTAATTGCTGTGCACAGTCACTCCATCTCTGGAGGATCCCTCTCTCTCTCAGCTCCTCCAGTTCATGCTACTTCCCCTCCATTGCGGTGCCTTCGTGTAATGTTCTTCTCCACTGTGTAAGATGTCACACCAATCTAAGTATTTCTCACTGCTGGCTTTAATGATACCGAGATTTACACAACTCCTATAAAACGTCAGGCCAAACTGTGATTTCTGGTCTGTCTCCCATAACCTCAAATGTAGAACTCTCTGAAGTGGCAGCCACCAGGCCCGTGTGTCATCCTGTGTCACCACTACAAGGGGAGAGGTGGCATCAGAATAAACACGGAAGGACAGCCCCTGCTCCCCCGCACACTAACACACAGAAACCCCCCCCGAGTTCAACTTAAACTACTCCAAGTTACCCCTCAGAACAGCTCTGGAGAATGGACAAAACAGTTTCAACTACGTAACAGCGGCCAAGAGGAGGGGGACAGCTCTGCAAGGAGGTATTACCAGTGCAGATTTATATGCTGTGGACAGATTTATTTTCTCTACTTAACGTTTACTATTTTATACATTCCTTGAATGGAAACGGACTGATAGGTTTCACTGGAACTACTGCTGCGTTGCTGGTTTACAGCTTTTTCTGGCAACCTCATCAAATGACTCAGAGCAGAGGAAAAAAGGAAATGGATAAAACCTGATTTTTAAATAGTGTAGGGTTTTAGAAATCTGTGTCTTACTTAATGCTGGTCTCACCATCGTGGATCCTGTACCATTAGGGTAGCCACAACACAGAAAGAGCTTGACTTCTACAGACTTCTTATGAGACACCAATACCTCCCTATCTGTCTGGGGAGCTTTCTGAGGATCTTTAGCTGAAGTGTAGGAAGCACTTTGAAGGTGAAGAGCATTACCACAACACTCAGCTACATTTTATTGTCATATTCTACACAATCAGACCACCCTGCGTGGGTGGTGACCCATCTGTTCTCAAGTAAGGTAGATAAAAGTTTTGTCTCGTGTCTTGGGAAACTAAGTATCTCCTCTTTCAACGTTTGGGGCTCAGTAATGTGTTTTCTCAATCTTTCTACATTTTAAAGTTGTTCTTTAAATGCTTATTGAACATTTCTGAGTGATTTTCCATTGTAAATGATCTGCAAGTGCTTTAGAGCTAACAACCCAGTATAAATGTGCACATGAAACCACACTGCCCAGTCTGCAGTGCTCTGGTGCAGCTCAGTTCAGATATTTCACAGCCAGAGCTCACAGGGTGAGAAAGGCTGAATCCAAACCCAACTGAAACTGCAGAGAGAATACCAGAAGCATGCAATGAGACAAACTGCTGCTGGCCCAAGAACGTGAGTTGTTGGTATGAAACAAATGGCTTTGTAAGTGTGGGCTTTATAGTTTAATTATTTATCGCACATGGAAATAATTCTTTTGGGGATTATGAAGACTAGACATTTGGTTTGATCCTGCCCTATCTTGCTGTTCCGGGCACTCACCATCCCTGAGCACAAGTGAGTACCAGAACGATAACGTGGCGCTGCTGCTACAGCCACGGGGATTGGGAAACACACACCCAGGAGGGGTTTTTCCCTTAGAAACACCAAACGCCAATGGAGGAACAACCAGTGGAGGAAACGGGGCTCATTTCTGCACCTTGTGGCTTGCTTGAACCTCAGAGCGGACAGGGCAAATACTCTGTTTCTTTCCTACCACTCAAAAAAGCCCAGTATTAAATAATCAGATACTCTCCTCAGCAACTTAAAAGCTGCACCAACAGTAAAACAGTTACAAAAAAAAACAGTTACAGCCAAAACACTCCAATGTTAAGTAGTACCTAAAATTAGAAATGCAAAGTTACCACTAGCTGCATTATCAAAGTAAAAGTGTTCACTTCCACTGACTTCCCTGAGAGCTGGGCACGCTCAGCACCCTAAAAATTCAGGTTGTACAGGAAATACTCAACTCCCACTGAGGTATCCAACTTGTCTCAGAAATCACTGAATAAGGACTGGCAGACAGGCTTCAGCATCCAAGCTTTGGTTTTGTATGTGGTACATCTCAGAAATACAGGGGTTCTCCCGTCTGCTCAACAACACAAAGTTTTATTTCAGTGTACTAATAAACATAGCAGCACAGCTACAAATTGGGAAGTCTTACGGGGTGACCTGGGCAATATTAAAATTTTAGTAGAAAGTGAGAGGACACTAACATTCAAAAGCACTTTGTGTGTAGTTAAGTCCATAGTAGCAAACAGCAAATCCAAGAAAGTTTACTGTGGATACACATCTTGTGTATCTACTAAAAGCTGGCAAAACAAAACAGGTGGAAGTTTGTGCGCTGGAATTACCTGTATAGATGCTCCAACTTTTTCATTACAAAGGCTGCACACCAGCGCCCACCTGCTGCTGGGAATGTGAGAAACCTTCGTAATGGGCTCCATTTTTTCTGGGCTTCCAATGCTCACCTAAGAGGAAAAAAAAGGTTAAAACACAGGGAGTAGGTATGACACTGTTAACCAAAAAGGGAAACAATTTTATCAGAGAACTCAAATTCCTTGTGTGCATCTGCAAAATTAGCATGTTCCAAGTTCCTCGGTTTATAAAGAACTGAAAAAAATTAAAACTTCTTTTTTAAAAAAATCAGTTCCTCGCTGCATGAACAGAAGAGTTTCAAGGTGAAGCCCTCCGAGTTAAAATGATCATACAGGATGAGTATTTTGATTATGAGAACCCACAGGAATTCTCACTGTCACATCCAACCCTTCCTGATTCACCTTTCATGTTCCATTTACAAAATAAAACGGTACTTTGTCTGCTTGTTAAATGAGCTTTGCCAGCAGCAAAGGCCTCATTTTTTGAGGCCTAATTTTGGTTGACAAAGGCAATGTAATTACTTTCTTCACAGATGATGCTTCATCCTGCCAGACTTCCTACCTAACTGAAAGCCTTCTATACTTTCTTCCTAAGAAGCACCATGTATGCGCTACACTCAGTGTAGCTACACCCTCTTGGTTGAAGAACGTTTTGATGGATTTCTTCTCTCCCAGAGTCCCTGAACCCCTGGAGGATGGGCACCTACCTCTGGAATCCACAGAGCACAGCTAACATGGACCCATTTGGTGCCGCTCCGGGTTGGCTTCATGGCACCTCCCTTCTTGGGACACAGCAAACACTTGGGCTGGACGCCGAGCGCGCAGGTCCGGCACAGCCAGCTGCCCTCCGGCACCTTCAGGATCCCGTAACACGCCTGGGTTCCCGTGCACAGAACAGGCAAAGGAGACAAAGGAAACAAGATGCGTTTCTGTTAATTTTGTGCTGTTTGCACGCAGCCTCTCACAACTCTCAAAATGTTCTTTATGGAATTTCTAACGCTATAGAAACATTAGCTTATGGAGGATCTCATAATCCAACCATGTTCCTTCCCCGAAAGGATCTTTCAGTGAAAGCAGCAGAAGCCATGACCAGCTGTTAGGGGCAAAAAAACCCACTGCCCACTTCAGCTGGAAAAGTGAAGAAAGTGTTTATCAGCCCAAAGAGCAAGGGGAACTCCGGACAGACAGCCCTGCCAGCAGGATGAAGTGCAGTATCACAAAGACTACAAGTAACAGGAACTGGACTGTTTTTAGTTCAAAAGGCAAGAACCACAAAATCAAGAGCTCTGCTGTGCGATACTCCACGTTATTCCACAGCACTGGGGTTTGCTTCTTATTCAGAGGGAAAAGTGCAGAACAGCAATTAATTAGCATCGCTTTTTTCAGAAGATTGCTTCTTTAAGGACACCTCCCTCCAAACTACTGTCAGTTTTAACCCTCCTAAAGTTTCAGATTTGGTGTGATCAGAGACTAAGAATCAGAGACCCACTACAGGTCTAAAAGTGTCCACTTTACTCTGAGCACGTTCCAAGACAGCCCTTTGTACCTCACAGCTGCCCCAGGGGTATTCCTTTACAATAGTAAGAATGCATTTAAGTAACACATGCAGAAAAATGCCATTCTTGCTCATTGGACAACGCAGGTTTCCGAACACTGAATGATAAAGAAGGGCAGGCCAATGGGAAGGCATCTGCCACAGGAAGCAGCATCCACAGAAACAGGGATGCTAAAATTGTAGCTGCTCTTCGTGCTAAGATGACTTCTTAACTGCCACAAAAAGGTGGTACATAATAGTGCTTCATTAGCTCAGCTCAGGTCAGTAGGTTCTCAATTAAATTAAAATGACGATAATAAATCCTACCCGGGTCCCTACTGATTGCCTGAAAGTTCTTTTTTCCTCTCCCTTCTGAGCCTAAATTGCTGATACCAAAGGTGTGTCAGCCCCAGAAGTGCCCAGAAAGAGAGGAAAAGAATATAGCAAGAGAAGTGACCAGGTGAGAATGCACAACAATACACAGGTGTGTGTTGGGGGGAGGCTATTTCTCACCGTGTAACTTCCTCCACACAGACACAGGACCACTTTTAACCCTCTTAGCATGACATTGCTAGAATTACATGTAACAATTTTCCTTCTCAATTACATAATTGCTGACTTCATCCCTCTGCTCAATAGTGAATTCTGCAGGAACTGAACAGATCAATGTCTGTCACTGGAAAAAATCCAAACCTGTTCTCCTTAATGGTTTGGAAGAAGTTTCTGTCAGCACCCCTACACTCCACTCCCCCAGTGTGCCTTGGCTGCCGTACCTGGTGCACACAAATGTTGCATTTGTCACAAAACACCATTTCGTTGCCATCTTCTCCATCTGGGGACTGACAGACGTCACAGACAACATCTTCATCGTACTCGATCCCGAGTCCTTCCTCCGTCTCGATGGCGTGGTTCATGTTGTCGTAGCATCGCTGTTCAAACTCCTCTATCACCCTCTCCATCGTGAACTCGTCCAGCTCGGGCATCCCTGGGAAACGGGAGTTGTTAGTCATTTAAGGAAAGAGTGATAACCCCCCCACACATAACTCCAGCTGCTTTTTCAACAGCTGAGTAGATACAGCCAACCCCCACACGTACACATGTCATTCCTAGACAATCAGGCCTATTCCAGCATAAACTAGGAAAACTAAAAAAAGTCAAAGAAGTCTTGTAACTGTATTAAAGTAATAGAAGCGGAGTATCCAAACCAATCTGTCAAATCCTGAGAAAAACTTTCATAAACTGATTTTGCCTTCCTGGTCTTGCTCTCATTTTTCCTTCTGGGACAGCACTGTCTGTGGCTTTTGCTCCAATTTTGCAACCCAGATGTTGACTCTTTGGCAAAAGATTTGAAGTGCTTTGAACCGAAAGCGATGGGAGTAGTAGGGGGAAAAAATCAATGATACTTGTAGCAAACCTGCAGTTTCTAACAACAGATGTTGGTTTTTTGCAAGTTCCAACCCAATAGGTTGCAACCCCAACTGAGGTCTCCATCAGACCCAGCTACACCAATAAATTACTTTGTTTTAAAAAGTGAAAACCACAGTTGAAATAAATGCAACATCAAATCGGGAGCAATAAATAAATGCAACATCTAATCTGGGATTTGGTCTTTTCAAACAGTATCCATTTGAAAAGTAATCCGGACACCACAGCTCCAGGCTGATTACATTATAGCATTCGGTAATTCCTATTTGTTAATTATATTAACTTACTACTCTAGACCTCAAAAAATACCATAGAAGTAGCGCCCTCTGGCTCCCATCTCTCACTTGCCACGACAATGAGCTGGCTGTAACACTTCCAGGCTGGTACCACACCAACCCTCCCCGCAGTATCGTGGCACACAAACACCCGTGGAACCGAGAACGCAACGAGAACGCAACTGCAAACAATCCCTGTCCTCTTGCAAAGTCAGTGTGGCACAAGAATTTCCATGTCCTTAAATCACTCCAGTGAAGCGCAGGCTTGGGATAGCCTGCTTTTTATTTTTAGGTTTACTGTGACATACAGAAGATGGCAACCTCATGATGTGTGTTTTAACAAGAAAATCCTCCCTTTGGCTCTCCCTATGAATAACTGAGCCACAAATTCCACAAAACAAAGAAGAAAAAAACCCTCTCTAGCTCCCCCAGATCAGAAGACCAACACTCTACTAAAGGACTTCCAGCTTCCCTTACAGAGAGGAAAACCCTTGGGGCAGAGCTCAGTGCACCCCGTGCTACCCAAACTGACCAGCTGAACGGCAGCAAAGAGGGAACATCCAACATCCCGCTGATGAAAGAGAGTGAGTTTTGCCCCGCAGCCCACAAACACTGCACCAGTGAAGCTGATGATGGCAGGGTCTAGACCAGTTTGCAATTCAATTCTAACCTCACGACTGCTATCACTTCATAAATGTATTGACTGTGCATTAATAAGGGTTAAACAAAAAGGGAACCAAGGGGCTGCGGGTTCAGCTTAAATGTTTACATTCATTCTTTTAAATTACACTTTCAGTACCTGAAGCACCCCAACAGGTAGCAAAGAAAACGTGGGAATTCAGAGCTGCAGGGACAGCACAAAGCAACTCCTCCAACTGCAGATCAGGAAATATTTCACTTTTGAAATGCCCACTGACAGTTAGCGTAGGGTGCGGTGTCTGACAGGGCACCCAGGAACTGCAGATCAGGAAATATTCACTTTTCAAATGCCCATTGACAGTTAGTGTAGGGTGCGGTGTCTGACAGGGCACCCAGGTACGTACTGCCAGACCTGCCACGTACCGACGGGAGCGTTTCCTTCCCTCTGCCTACAGCCAACCCCCAGTGGATGAAGATTTACAGCAAACAAACTACAAGGAACCACACCAAAACACAACAGCGAAGGTCAGATCTGTCCAGCTGTAGCTGCCCATGTTCCGTGTGCACGGTGTGATTCTGAAGGTCACACTGGTGTAGCAGAGTGGTGGCCACAGGGTTTCATGCATGGGCACAAATCTGCACGATGAAGAGCCCCCTCTCGTGCTTCATCACTAATGCAGCTCCCCCCCCTGTGTAACGCTGCGGCAGCCCTCTGGTTTTGGCAAGAGACAGACGGAGGGGATTATCTACACTGGATAGATGGGTATCCGTTACAAATCATAAAATGTATTTTTAATTTTTCTTTGAAGAAAGCTAAGGGGACTTGCTGCTGTTTTTCTGAAGCTAACTGGAAAAGTAAACCTAAACTCTTGAATAGTGAACTGTTTTAAAATTGTCTAAGCCCAACACAAAACCTGAGCAGGCCTGACTGGGCCTGAGATCTTGAAAAAAGGCTTGGGTAGGAGACCAGGTCAAGCCTGGGTCATCCGGTTTTTCCACATTTCAGTTTAAAAAGGAGAAACTTTTAAAGAGTTATTAGTGGTCAGTGTGTGGTTTACCAAGTCTTGAGCCATGCCACGTATGGGCCACAGCCAGGTGAAACCCCTGTGACTAAACTAACCCAAGGCAGGGAACTGCCACAATGCTAACAACACAAATCAGGTGTTCACCAACATGCCCCAACCTGTTCCTTCTGGCACAGCACCTTTTCCTGTATCTAAACAATGTGGTTAAAGTTCTGTGCTGACTTACATCCTCTTCAATTCCGTTGAAATTCTCCCCTGGAGCACACACCTCACCAAAGAAATGTTCCTGCTCCCCTGCCCCTTCCCACACACAAGCCATCCTATGGGACAGGGAGCAGTTGCTTCCCTTGTGATGGCTCCTCTTCCTTCTTCGGAGGTTTGGGAGGTTCCTCCAACACTGTGGGAATTCCTGGCTCATTCCCTGCACAATTCCACTGGCGTAGGTTTGCTAAACCTCCCAAGACTCCTTGTCCCTTGTCTACCTTCTCTGCACTGAGCACCACTAGCTCCAAAGATGATACGGATATGGGACACAGAGAAAAATAAATAAATATCCAAAGATGATACAGATATGGGACACAGAGAAAAATAAATAAATAGAAGGACTAACAGGAAAAACTACCCAAATGTTCTCTTCAAGGACCATGATGGCGAAAGGGGAACTTTGAGAGAATCCCCTTGTGAAATGGAAAGCAGCAGAGAAAAAAAAAAAAAAAAGAGGTGGCCAGATTCTGACCTGGTCTAAGCAGATACAACTCCGCAGTTATAAAACCATGTATCTCTGGGCTTAATCACATCAGGTCTGGTTGCCCATGGCTACCCCAACTCATACGACTGCTATCTTTTCATACCTCTATCACCTCTTCCCACCGCTGCCCTACCTAAAACTATTCTTAAGATTGCCAGCTTTTTAAAAAAACAAACAAACAACAACAACAAAAACATAAGCAGTCATTGCTCACCCATTTCTTTGAATTCTTCATTGGCAAGCTGCAGCCATGCTACGTCCACATCATTGAGATCGTAGCGACACACGCTGTCTGCTAGGGTTCGAATGTCAACGTAGCCCAGCTCTGGAGGCTCCGAACCCGACGAAACGATGTACTTCCTGGGACGCGTGAAGGTGACAGCTTTTGTCTCAGACACGACCCTAGAACAAAGAGACAGGCAGATGTCAGGGACACTGGGCTGCCCAGAGACTTGTTCCTAAACAATTCCAAACGCCTCATCTTAAGTGACTAACAAGCATCAGCCCTCACCAAACCACCTAAGCAATCCTCTTGCTCCACTGAGATGGGAAGGGGAAACAGCACAGTGCACTTTCGTTAAACACTGGCAGTATTACAAGAAATTATTGGAGTTGTCTAGAAATCCAATTAATTACCAGACTTCTAAATAAAATTTAAAGATTAGAAGATAGAGCTGGGCTTACTCTTACCTGAAATTCACACTTGTTTAAAGCTATAGCAGGAACACGGTATTTATGTGGTGATGGCTGCCATATACACAGATATTAAACTCTGTTTTAAGACTTTAAAATGAGTTTAACTGCAATACCAAGATTATAAAAATTCAAGGAAAAAAAAGCAGCGTTTCCTGCTACAAATGAAGTTTTCTTTCTCGAGCTGTTTTTTTGTTTGTGTGTGTGTGTGTGTGTGTGTGTGTGTGTGTGTGTGCAGCTACAGATCTGCCATCCCTGTTTAAATTCAGAAGACCTTTTCCCAGTCATTTGCACTAGCTTCACCTTCACTTACCCGAGCAGATCCAAGCTCTGGCACCCTGGGTCTGCATTTCCTCTTTCACAATCACTAATGTCATGCTGGGCCAAGCGCAAATATTAATCAGCTGCTGCTGAAACTACCTTCTCTCATGATCTGCAGGCTCCAGTTGGCCAACAACCAACCATGAAAGTGTATTTTAGCTGCAAGCCAACTGAAATTTTGCTGGACCACAGGCACTGGTTCAGGAAATGGTAAAGTACCTACAGCACGTAACTCGTTCTAGGCCAGACTCCTGCAAAGCCGGGACCTGGGGGCAAAACTGCCCAGTTCAGAAAGGACAGCAGTCGTTCTACCAGCAAGGTAACTCTCTCACTCCACCAGCAGCACACTTCTCTCAGTAGAGGACACTGCACCTTCTCCTAGTTAACTGCACACACCAAAATCTGGTTTGGATGAAACCCACCTCACGATGTAATGCTGGTACCTCCAGGGGCTGCCAAATGCCTGTCCCCTGCGGCACCAGTGCTGATGGTATTTTTTTGGTGCTCTGGTGCTGCAAGGGAGGAGACAGCACCACTCCACACAGACACAACTTTCTGCTGGGAACAGGCTATGCTCCAGCAAGCACGACATCCTCCACCTCACTTTGCCTCCATCTGAGGTCCAACGTGTTAACTCCTCCTTTTGGGAGGCCCTGATCTGCCACTACTGTATCTGCACACAGAGAGCTCCGTACATCTCCTACCTCCTTCAGCCCCCTACACAGCCCTACATCTTCCCCTCATCTACCTGGTTTCAGACAACAACCTGAGAAATGGTGGGCAAGAGCCAGATGCTGAATCTGGGGCTTCTAAGGTGCAGAAGGGGACTGTGGAAGAACATGAATCCGCATGACCTGCACCAACTGCACTGCCCAAACTGTTCCTGGCCATAAGGCACAGTATTAAAACGTTACAGATCACTACGTCTCACGGAGAATTTACTTTAAATTGGGCACTGCTCTCCACATCTTCTGTAACGTAAACTCTTCCCTGAGTACCTCTCCATGGGGAAATCACAACTGTGGGCAGCACCCTGCACACGCTGCTGACCACCACTGTAGTGGCACGGTACAAATACAGCTAGTCTGGCTTCAAAACCAACCACCTTCACCTCTTTATTCCTGTGGTAGGAAGAAGTAAAGAAAAGCAACGCTCACTACATACAAGAAACCACATTCAGCTGAATTATCCACCTGACCACATGCCTACACTCAATCACCACACAGACGCCCTCCCTTCCCCACCCCTCTGAGCCTACCCTTCCTGCCCTGACCGGTTTTTCTATTTCTATTTTTCTATTTCTTCTATCCTTTTATTCTCTATTATGTACCTCATTAGCATAGGCTACCTGTACTGTACTGTCCTTCTGTTCCACACCAGCTACTATCTGACTATTGTTGATACAATCTACAGAACGTGTCCCTCCCCACCCCGAGGTAGGCACAGAGGGGTTCCAGCGCTCCAGCACCACCAGGGCAGGGCTCTCCAAGTGTTCTGTGAGGAGCAAACAGGGCAATAATCAGGTATCAAAGGGCCACTCTGACCAGTAGGTGCTCACCAGCAGGACCCTACAAGAAAGCTCAGCAACTAAAGAGTGTTGCTTCCTGTGCTCATAACCTACAACTGTGGGTACCCCATCTCCTCTAATATCTTAAATTTGGAGCAACGTCTCTGTTGGTCACTGGCAGACAAAAGTTCTCTCCTAATTGAGTACTTGGGACGTGATACAGCCACCAAACCACCTCCCTGAAAGATACAGGGTGGGGATCCCCGGAAGGTCTCTCTCTGCTGAAGCCCACAGGTCTCCTGGCCCTCCTGCAGCCTTGGGAGATGCCTGGATGTGAGCACACAAGTAGAATGTGTGTGCATTTATGCAGGGACTGGGTGAGGTCAGTGTGGGGCAGGCTACGAGCGCTGCAGGGAAACAGTACTCTCCCATGTTCTAAACCACTCAGCAGAGAGGAAAATGTCAAGTTCTCTTTGGAGCTCCAGGTCCAGTCCTTCACAAGAAGGAAGGAAAGGGTTTACCTGATATGTGGGTAAGTCCTCATTGTACAGACCTAGTGGGGCTGTGCAGTGCTCTGCAGGTTGCTGCACAGAACACAAAAAGCACAAACAAACACTCCCGTGGTCCCCCCGCTCCAAGGCTAAAGCTGGCAGATGCAGACCTAAGAGGGGCAGCGTAGCATCACCCAGAATTTTTCGCTGCACAGCAAAGACTGGGCTGTTCTGGCCCAACAGCACTGGGGGGTCATCTGGTAACGCCTTATGGGCCAGCCTGGACTTAGCCAAAGAGATCTGGCATGATTCAGTGGCAGTAACCCTTGTTCTTCTCACTCCCTCCAACTCCAATCCCAACTCAGTATAAAATAGATAGATGGGCTCTAGCATGCTCCCGCCCTTACAACTGTACCGTTTAATTTGAAACAGAAAGCATTATCCTAAGCGTAACACACAAGGTAAGGAAAACAAGGGTCTCTTGGGTCAGAGCTAGAAAATCTCACATTAATGTATATAGTTACATGCACATCTGGATGGTTCTTAAAACAGCTGAAATGTTGTACAACAAACAATTTCCTAAGTCAGTAAATGAAACAACCAAAAAAAAAAAAAACACATGAAGATAAAATTAATGCTGTATTTTCTCTAGCCATTAAATCCGGTTTGTCTAACTGTTCCTTGAAAGGAACCTACGGCTTGGAACTAAGCACACGAAGCATCAGACAAGGGCTGTCCCAGCAATGCTGAGTGAAGTCCAGTCTGGGCTTAAAAATGGAAGCTATTTTTAAGGTTCTCTCATCACACTCCATCCTCACATTATGCTAAAAAATTATCTTCTGACATTCATATTCCAACACACAGGCAGAACAGGCCTGACTCTTGACCTCTCTAACCATCCAAGAAGCTGAGGCAGGTTGCTCTTCATCTCTGAGAACCAAGACCTTTCTAGCTAGACACGGTGGAATAAAGCTGAAGAAGCCAAGGCAATGTAGACACAAGCTGCTAGCATAAACGTACGTGTATTTTGGTTACATTCCTCCAAACTATACCTGGCTACTGGTTCTGGGATGGTCCCTGGGCTAACTGGCACCTGAACTCCCTTTTCCCACTCCTGCCTCCAGGGGTCTGCCAGCACATAGTATTCATCAGGGTTCAGCTGGAAGGAGTCATGTAACTTCATGGCAGTGATCAGGTCCGTTCTGAACACCTGCAAAGAGAGTGACCGAGAGAGAAAAATAGAGACACTGACATTTGATATTTACACTCTATGATTCACAGCTTCAGGGTAACCATGGAGCACAGCGTGGAACAAGGTCACTGTATCAACAGTAAACTAACCCAGCCCGCTGTAGGACCACAAGTTGAGCTTCATGGCAGGGGAAGGGGTGGCTGGAGGTGCAAATACTGATAGAACAGCTTCTGGCTAACTCCACTACCCCTCCTGGCGTCCCCCCTCCGCTGCAGACATGATGCTAAAAGGTGCTACCCACTTTTACCTCTCTCTGGTTGCAATAAAAGCTGTAGTAGCGTTGGTTTTAAAACAGCAGCACGAGCAAGCCTCATTTTTGCTCCAAGGATTTTTTTGTCTTTTTTTTTTTTAAATTATTGGAGCTCTGACTAATCCAAAGACATTCTAGAAATTCCCTGTGGTAGAAATCAAGGCGTGACTCTACCATGACCAGCCGCAAGAGGAAATTCTAAGGAAATGACTCTTTGTGCAAGTATTTAAAATAATAACCCAAAAGATCAAATAAAGTAAGACCCAAACTGAAATTCTGGTGGCAGCTGCGTGTTCAGCACAGGTGTTTGTTATTCCATCAGCTACAGACACCTCTGCATCACAGCAGTGAGTTCTACCTCTGAAACAAGCAGGACGTTTGGCAACTTTTGGGTTAGCAGCCACAAACAAGCAGCGATGCCACCTTCAACGAGCTGTGAAATGAAATCAGAGGAGATTCACTCTCGTACAGGTTTGCTGGGTAGGGTTGGGGCAGCTTTAGCCTGGTTTCCTGGTGCCTGTGAAGGCTGCAGAGAGCAGAGGGTGCTATGGCAGGCACGGGAGCCACAAGCCTGCACTTGCTGGCACCTCTCCCTGCTCTCCCCAAAAGGCTGCAGGTGACACAACTGTGCCCAGCAGCTCCTCACCGCCACAACCACCCAGCTCTAACAACTCAACGCCACGTTCAAAGGAAAGGGTTAAAAAGCAACCAGGGGACAGAAGATAAGCACCACCAGGAGGAGGGAAAGGCAGGTAACATCTTAAGAGAAGCTCCCCTGCAGAATTCTCAGTCTGTGGGAGAGAGAGACCCCGTCCCCCCAGCCCCCCGCTGCGGAGTTAAGGAGGAAAAGGCAGATTGTCCGGGCAGAGCTCTGAGATGCTCTTACAGGGCTGATAATGGGCAAAGTGACACAACCTCCCAGCCCCTACCCAGTCCCAAACCGATGGTGACACTGGCTGGGTGACACTGGCTCCAGGCAACTGTTGCACATGGCTGAGGAAGAACCAGATCTACACAGAGCGCTAATTAGGCAGGGCCTCCCTGGGACAGCAATTTCTGTCGCACGCTATTCACACACCTCAAATCTCAACAGGTTCCCTGTGATTTTTGGGAAGTATTTTAGGGAAACAGTGAACCTGATGGTTAATTATGCTTCTGAGAATATTTCAAAGTGTGATTTGCCTGAGCACACTGCGCATCTTAAAACCTCTCCTCCCTCCCAACACACACACACACTATCCCACTTCTGTCTCAGTATGTTTCCGTTTCCACTCTGGTTTTTTCACAAAAATAGCATAAAATCATGACGTTTTTCTTAACACTTGTCTTGACATGTTCAGAAAAACTGCCAACGTTAAATAATAAAGAATAATATTACCATATGAAGGAAAGGGTGAATGCAGGTAATGAAATATAATTAAATGTTTTAAATAATCAAATTACAAGTCCTGTGAGGCTCCAATCAAGAAATTAAAAATAAGCCACAAAGTAAACTGGCTCACAAAACAAACAAGCACAGCTGGCCAGGGGATTCTGCACTTTGAAGTGATTTGAATTAAAGCAATCAAATGTCAAATGAAAAGAAGACTAAAAATATAAAATGGGACGGAAACTTGCTCAATCCAAGAGCCAAAGTAACTCAGGCTCTCAGATAAATTTGTCATAAAACTCCCTCAAAAGCAAAGCTAACGCAGGACCTGGCAGCCAAGAAACTCCTTCCCAGGCCACTGGCCCTGTGACACCATTCTTTCTGCTCTAATTTCTGATGCAATCAGACTGCCCGGAGCAAAGCAGAGCTCACAGAAGTGCTGGCTCTCAGAAGCACTGAACACTTCAAAGCTGAAGGGTGAAACCCTGGCCACGCTGAAGTCAATGGGAATTTTGCCACCAGCTTCAATGAGACCAGGATTTCACCCGGGGAGTTTAGCAAGTGTCACTTCTCTGCCAGCACACTTCTCATCAGCACAGTGTGCCACGGTGAGCACAGACAATGCAAAGGGAGGGAGAGGGGGAGAAGGCTGGGGAACGGAGCTGAAGGGAAGTGTATGAGAAGTCCATCCAGGCTGAGAAAACAAGAGAGAACAGAAAAAAACTGCAAAGATTCTGATGACAAATGCAAGGAAAGGGAGAGGAGAAAACAGAAGCACACAAAAAAAACAACAGCAAGGTTTTTCATTCTCTCAAATTATTCCTTGAAAGCCTTTCACGAGGTAGTTCTCAAAGTTGGGTCTATGGGGCTACTTCTAAGGGACATACAAAAGGTGACTAAGGAAAGCAAGTCTATCACCAGTAAGAATAAATTCACCAGGGGTCCCCACATTCACAAAAAAAGGCAAAAAATAGAAAAGGGGTCTTTAACAGCTAACAATCAAAACAGGAGATTGGAAAACACCAGTACTAGGTGTAGCTTGCACTGAACAACGAATGGGATTCTTCTTGTGAAAACTCCTGTCTGGGCCTCAGGTACACTGTCACTGGGGAGATTAATAAAGCATGGTTTTTCTCAACATCAGTCACTTATTAAAGCATCAGAAATACATGTATTGGGCAAGAACATTAAATAAAGAAATTCCATCTCCTAGAGCTTATGCTTTCTTTGCAGCCTCTACAAAGTCCACAGTGCAGAATTTGCCTGAAGACAGGGAGATTCAGCACGAATCTTTGCAAAGAACGGGATCACATTTATGTGCTACTAACAGTTCATCCATGATGGGAAGTTCCAAGATTTATACCTCCCATGACAGGATTTCCCCAAAGCACTATGCAAGACACAACTGTCAGGAAGCAGATTTCTAGTTTGACCAGGACTTTAACAAAGATCTCATACCAAGGCCCTACGAAATAAATGCACCTCATGTAAATTTTCACTGTTCACAAATCAAGCTAGAAATCCTGATGCTTAAAATACTAGAAGAAAGACTCTGCAGCTATGCTGAATGGGTGTCAGAGTATAATAAAATTCACAGATTGAAAGCAGTGCTGGCAGTGGCTGTGCCAACAGCTGAATACCCTAATCTCCTGGCTAACAACAAGAAAAAAAAAAAAGGGGGGGGGGGGGCAAGCAACAAGAAAAGAAAATGTGAATCAGAAGAAGTGGATCCATTACCAGAATATGTATTTGATAGATGTAACAAAATGCAAATTAAATTCCAGAAATACCTCAGAAGGTTTTCGATCTTCATGTCTGGAACACGAAGTCCTCCGATGTCGAGATCTGGAATGCTGGGACCAGGTGGACAGACCTAGGATAGAGAAATGATCATTTGCAGACGCTGCTGCCATCTATCAATACAAGCCTTTGCTTTCTCCACACCCCCAAGAAGGCCAATTGACTTCAGTGGGACAATATGAGTATGGCAAGCCAGAGTCAGGCTACTCTGACAAACCACCAAAAGACTCTTTCAAAATGAATCAGAAAATAAAAGTTACTCGGTGGTAAACTACTGTGATTGCTCTTCTGGTTTGGTTTGTTTACAATTCCCTACTGGTACGTGCATGTATTGGCTGCACTGCACTTACCGACCTTCCACCCAGCATTTGAAGAAAGCTACCTCATAACATGCTTCCCCCTGAGCACCAATAAACCTCTTTCTGCAGATTAATAACTGACCAGGATGTCTACTGATTAAATATCCCAATTGGTTACCCAAATTTTACCAGATCAACCTTGCACACAGAGTAGAGCCCACAAAACAAGCTCTTGTCTCTTCTCCTGAGCAATTCTCTCAGTGCGGTTGTACACTTTTTGTCTGTCTGCTTATTCATTACATCCCAAAGAAATTATACCTTTTTGTCTTGAAACCTTTTGACAGAGTCTCTGTCAGCTTTCAGAAATATTTTAACAGGAGAACAGGAAAAAGAGAAAATCTACACTCCACTGACAAGGTAGTGCTTTGACACCAGAGTATATGATACTTGTGCAAATCAACTGATTTTAATTCAGTAAGATTTACAGGTAGGGCAGGTGTTTTCCACTGCCAACTACACAGAGTGACGAAAAAGCCAGTAAATCCTTACGGGCTGGAGAGATGAAGGCTTTGTAATAAGCTCTGTACCATAGAGAAGCCAGGACCTACATGCTGCACTCTGAAGGATGAACACAGGTTTTGCAACCCTGGGCATTAATTGAAAACAAAAAAAAACTGAACTGATGCAAAGGACAGGGAGCTGCTGGAGAGGGTACAGCAGAGGACTACAAAGATGGTTAGGGGACTAGAAAATCTCTCTTATGAGGAAAGGCTGGGGAATTGGGTCTTTTTAGTCTGGAGAAGAAAAGACCAAGGGGGGATCTGATCAACACCTATAATAAAGGGTGGGGATGGGGCCAGTCTTTTTTCAGTGGTGCCCAGTGACAGGACAAGAGGATATGGGCACAAACTTGAACATAGGAAGTTCCATCCAAACATGAGGAGGAACGTCTTTACTTTGAGGGTGGCAGAGCACTGGAACAGGCTGCCCAGAGAGATGGTGGAGTCTCCATCCCTGGAGACATCAAAACCTGCCTGGACACTCCTGTACAACCTGCTCTGGGTGGACCTACTCTGGCAGGGGGGTTGGACTAGATGATCTCCAGAGGTCCCTTCCAACCCCATATCATTCTGTGATTGTGTGAAAGGCTTTCCCACACTGCTCATTTCTCCACTGCCTCTGCACAGAGATGCTAGGAGTAAAAAGCAAGAGTAAAAAGTGTAAGGCTACAGTCCATAAGAGCAACATCGCCTCCCATCATCCAGCAGAAACCCCTTTGGGATCAGAAAGCACTGTTCAAAACCAGACTGCATAGGACAGGATAAATTCTCTACTAAAAACAGAAATAATTTTCAAAATGAAGAGACTGTCCAAGACTTTCATTGGAAAGATATGACTGAGTAAGAAGTCAGCAGAAGAATTTGTTATGTTGTATTTGGGCTTTTGTCTTCTCTTTTCAGTTAGTAATACATTAAGAAGTCTGCCCCAGTACAAACCACTCTGTAACACAGCAGTGAATAACAGACGTTACACAGAACATGCATAATGGTCAATATTGAAGCAAGGGATGCAGCAGACAAGCAGACAGCTAAAAATCTATTCTTCTGAGGGAAGAATACAGCAAAGATTATTTTAAGCAAATTATAGTGTTTTAATATAAAAGTTGGTGATTTAAAAGGCTTTTAAAAAGCCACGTGCACTTTTCCTAAGCCCCTCTCTATTTTAAAATCTTTCTAAATTTTCTATTTGTTTGGAGGAAAATAAAGAAGAAAAAAAAAAAAGAAAAAAAAAAGGAAGAAAGTGACCGACTGCCATTTACTAATGTGCGGAAAGCCAGATTCCCAAGATCTTTCAATTACCACCCCACTTAAACATTCTCTTGAAAACTAAAGAAAATACACAAGCTGCAGCCTAAACTCCTCCTGGGGATCCTATCAGCCCATACCCAAACTCAACCTGAAAAAGAAGGCAATAAGTGAAATCACTTGAAGTGTCAGATATACAGCTAAAATTCACAACAGAAAAACAGATCTTTTTTTTTCCTTGCAATATTAACATTTTAACATTAAGACAGATGTGATTTCTTTAATCAACAGTCTCACTGGAAGACACAGACCACATACATAGCCACACATATTAGTATTCAGTTCTTGTGGGTTCCATCGGCAAGACATTAATATCTGACCAACTATCTGCCGCTGAGGTATCCAGCAGGTTACACCACTGCACCAGCAAGTCAGACACTTGGAAATTTCTAATTCATTTGTAGATCTGGGTGTTCTGGCCACTGCTGGAGCTGGGGGAGGGAGTCTGCACACCAGGTAAGGAATTAAGAACAACAAGCTGTGCTGGCAAAGTGATGCGCCCTGGTTTGATTCTCAAGTGTCTGTGGGAGAAGAGCTGGTGAGTCTGGAGGCTTTAATACAGTTGTCCCCAAGCAATGCATGCATCTGGGAAAATTAGAGAGGTAGCAGTATGATGGATGTACTTCTGGATCTTTACCCGTATGCTTTAATTCTGCTCTGATGACAACTAATCATAAACTGAAGACAAGTAAGCAAGCATATGGGCTTTTTTAGGGGGAGAGGGGGTATTAAAAGATGGCTTTCCAGGTCTCTCATGCCACAGAGAAGCTACAAAGGTGAAGTGTAAAATAATCCCTACCATATCTTCCATCTCCATCACTTTATTGTGTAATCTGCAGATGCTACACATCAAAACAGTGTCTTAAATGTGTACTTCTATTTTAGACACAGTCCATGTACACGTGGCCTAACCCCCTGGGTTAATTAACTATTCCATGCAACGTGAAAGGTCAACTCTTAGCACCAAAACTACAGAATCTTCATTTTAAATTACTTTTCTGAAGCACTGCACGACAGCACACTACATAAAATTTCCATGCATAAGGGACAACTAAAACGCAGCCAGCCTTCCTCAGGATATATTATAATGAGTATTTTTTCCATGCTAACTAATTTCCTACAACGAATAAGGGAAGAAATAGTTTCTTACATGGTTCCGTAATAGCTGCTTCCTTGCATATAAAATTGGTGAATGCACAGTGAAAACACACCATGTTGTTAGTAAGTTACATGGTTAGTAAGTTTAGTAAGTTAAGTAAGACTGTTTTATTTTTCTGAGCAGTGTAAACTGACTGTACATAATACTAGGAGAAAAAGGTGGAAGAATTTCTCATGGGACAGAGATTTTACTGCCCACTCAGATCTGTAACTGCAGTTACCAGATGACCTTTGGCAAGGGCTTCACTTCAGCAGGGACAACATTTACTCACTGAATAAACAAAACCTAACTATAAGGCATGCATTCACAGATTCAAACAACCAGCACCACTTAGACACAGAAGTGCAAGAAATTGAACGAGCCAAGCAAATGATAGTAAAATATCCTAGTATTACATTTATTTATTATTTATAAGTATCCTAGTATTAAATTTAACTACTTCTGAAATCTCAAAGAAAGTGTTTCAACTCTGCTTCCATTAAAGTTAATGGCAAAATATCACTGCCTTCAACAGTGCCAAGACCAGGTCAGTGAATTACCCAAAGCCACTTTCATTAATAAGCAATCCACCCACTCCGAGTATACCAATAAAAGCACAGGAGGAAAATTAAGGCTGTTATTTGTCTTCTAAGCATCCTTTCCATATTTTCATACCTAATCCAGAAGAGGGATATCACTGAAAGGAAAAGTTCACAGGCAATTACAGCTACTTCAGTGATTAATGATCTGATTTTTACATCTAAATACATGAAGTAAGAAGCACTCCTGGATTATACGGAAGGAACAATCTGCTGTGGTCAAAATACAGGATTCAAAACAGCTCTTCTGTATTATAAAAGCACACAAACCCAATTGAGTTAATTTAGAAAGACTCCAGACACTTTTCAGCAAAATGACCCTCTTGCACTAAGTATCAAAAATAACTATATTCATCAACAATTTTCAGAATGCTTGCCTTCATCCCAAACTGGATTAGGATCACCAAGACTAGAAAAAAAAATTAAAAATCAAGGCAGAGTTAAACCCAATTTTGGTAAAGTAATGAAAAAAAAAATCAGGGAAGCCTGAATCACTGGGATTTGGAAGATGTAAAACTTTTGTAAGATAACATTATATACCTCACAGGAGAAATGAGTTCTACAGCAGATGGAAAATTAACAAGATGTGAAGTGAGCCCATACTACCAAAAGCCACATGAACAACAGTGATATGAAAAATACACAATTCCAAAGCACAAAGCTGAATAAACACATCTAAAACATGCATCACTACCGATGTTTGGCATCAGAGTTGAAAAGTGTCTTATTAAGTGCCTATCCCATTACAGGACTGTGCAAGGTAAAGATGAACATAGCAGCCTGACATCAGCACTCCAGGAGACACACCAAGACCATTCTGATTCTTTTACAGTTAGGATCCTTTCAGACAGCCTAGGTGTTCGAGGTAGGAACATGCTCCTAGGAGGAGGCTCATACTCTTACTACGTGTCTTGAGTTTTCCCTTTGCATTTACTCACTTACACACAAAAAGCAAAAAGAAAGCCCAAACCACTAATGAGGTGTAATTCCCAGCAAGAGAGGCAAAGCTCTAATACACTACTGGTGCTGGAAAAGCGACTTTTAAGATTCAAGTAGGAAAACTTTCTGTTCCCCATGGCTATTATATACACCTTGCACTGTAAATACAGTGTTTTTGTAATACTGCTACAGGGTGTATGTAACACATACACCTCCTGATAATAAAAGAAAGC